CCTGGATGGGGGACAGAAAGATGCTTCGGTCTCTGCACTCTGCAAAATGTGCTGCTGGCTACCGTCACAAATCCTGATGGGGAAGATGATAGTTCCTTTTGCTCCAGTTAAAATGACAATTGGCGACTTGGCCTGTGATGCAAATAAGATGAGTACTGAGAGTTATATTTCTTTCCATCTGGTTTATTTTAGGTAGTGGATAGCAAGGAAACAATTGCCTCAATGCGTTACTTCCTTCTGATTCTGCACATGTGAGCTTCGTCCCACAGAATAGAGCGGGGAGGCACGCACAAAGCCTCAGGGACGGGTGAGATATAAGAAACCCAAAATAAAACAGATTTCCTCACTCTGTTCACAGCCTGTCCACTGTTCAGGTCACGGGGTAATTAGCGCCATGGGATGAACTGGGTCAGCTGTTGGCCATCGCTTTTGTAAAGGGGCAGGTGGAGAGAAGGAAAACGTCGCGCGGAGTAGGAGCAGCGGGTAGCGGCGGTGAGCAGCCGGGCACACGTGCGCGGCTGGCGCGCGGGGCGCTCCCCTCCCCGCAGCCCTCGGTGACGGGAAGTGTCTGGAGGGAGCGATGGTCGCGCTGGCGTCAACAGAGTTTGTCAGAAAGGACCCCGGGATGCCTCCCGTGCGAGACAGTGCATTTGCTCTGCTGGAAACCAGGTGGGAGTTTGGCGACTCACCTTCACCTTTGGCTCTGTGTAGCTCCCTGCTCCACGCTGACAGCCCGAATCCCAGCACTCCTCTCCCCGTCTTGCTGCTCCCTGCCCCTGCGAGGCGCTTTTCCACCTGACATTGGTGGAGCCCTATTTCTATTGTGCTTATAGCCTTGCTCCCAGAAGATATCCTAGAGGACCCATTGCACGCTCTTCACCATCCCCTGCCCTTGAGTAAAGGGAATGCATAGGTGACAGGGAAGTGTTATCTCAGAGTCGTTTTCAGATATCTGGCCACGAGGACCCATCCTTGGAGTCCTGCAGCAGATGCCGTATTGTTTCCTTGCTTCCCCTGGTCTCCTCGTGAGAGTGAGTAGGGAATGCAAAAGGCCCCTCTGAGCCTACACCTGGCACTCATAACTATTTCATATTTCTAGCTTTTCTTCCCCTTGAAGAGCAAATCTTTTTCATATTTGATGCCCCGGGAGCCTGTTTGATTGTTGAATGTTGCCTCATCAATGCTTTCCTTCCCTTCTTTTTCTCCCAACTGCCCATCCCCTCTTCCTTTCTCTTTTCAGGGCACAGCTCTTTTTCAAAAGCTTCTTCAGAAAAGGTCATTGTCTCTTTCATATTCCCTCCTTGCTGTGAGCCAGCGTGACTTTTGTGCTGCTGATGGTAAAGGAAAAATGGAGATATGGGGAAAGACAATGGTGGGGAGGGGGAGGCAGGCAGGCAGGAAGACACGAGCACTCACACTGAAGAGAAATAAAAGTAGGCACAATGAAAGAGAATTAAATAAGGGAAGAGGCAGGCAGAAATGGCAGAAGGGAGTAAAGAGTAAACTGCAGGACTTTTCTGAAGAATCAGTGTTCTGGTTCCTTCCAGAACTCGTGTGTGAAATGCACCAGTGTCATCTTGGATTTGGGCTGTCCATTGAAGGAACTGTGCACCTTTCTTAGCCATTTTGGCCTGTTGTAGAAAGGTGTCTTGGTTTTCTAGAGCGGGAACGTTCCCAAAGGTGTTTGATTAAAAGTGAGTGTCACTGCTGTGTGTTCCCACCTCGGAAAGGTTGGGTTTGGACTGCTTTGAGCTTACAGCACTGCCTTGACAAATATATGCTGCTGCTTCTGCCTTGCCTTCTACTGATTTCCTACCCTATGCAGTTGCTTTAGAGATCTTATCTGAACTGTGAAGATCTCCATCCTCAGGCTGTTCTCTCTCTCTCCCCCTTTCCCTCAGAGCTCCTGAGTGCTTGAGGGGGTCATGGACCATATGCCTCCCTGCCTCTGGCTGTGCAGATCCTGGAAGCACGCTGCTATATGTGTCATGCTGAGTGGGGCTGATTTCCTCCTGCCTTTGAAAGCTTTCAGGAGTCTGGCAGTGAGAATCATTCCTTGGATGCCCACAGCAGGTGCTGTAGTGTGAATATCAGACCAGCCTGGGCCTGCTTGAGGTTGAGGGACTGCAGAGCCCAGGCTGCGGCCAGACCCGTGCGGGGCTGCTGGCTCAGGCGCTGCATGGAGAGGCTCCACAGGCTTCCAGCCAAAATGCCAATATGGGCTGGCACAGATGCAGGGGGCACTGCCAAAATGCCATGACAGTTCCTACCAGCCCCATTCGGGCTCTGCGTTAAAAAAATGCTAGCTCTTAGCAGCAGTTGGACCTGCAGAGATGTAAGGATGGCTGATAGCAGAGTACAGTGGAAGTGCTCTGCAGGGGACAGGCCTCAGAGGCTCTGGCTATGATTATTACAGCCAGCACAACACAGTCATCAGGAAAAAGCCACAACAGAGGGAACAAAGGTAACAAACTAGTATTTACACTCTACCTTTCATGTAAGTGAGTCCCAGAATACTTTAACTAACTGGGTGAACTTAGCAGAGGAGGTCCATTTTGTTTTCTGCTGAAAAGGTGATGCCTCTGGTGAAGAACAGCGTAACTGTTTTGTGATTCAGGACAGGAAGCAAAACAGGGTTTGCCCAAAGTGAAATGAGTGAAAAAAAAAAAAAGTGAAATGGTCTTGTTTTAGAGACACGCGGCCCACAGGGGAGTTGCACTTGCCCTTTGGATGAGTGTAGGTTCAGTGTTCTTACTTTTGGAGGAACCAGTGCTAGATGCATAGTAGGTGTCAGTGTGCAGAGAAGGATGTTTCTGTTGAGCTAGAGGATTTTTTAATGTCAAAATTAAGTTTCATTTGAACTTAGAATTACTGAAACACCACTACTGAAATTTTTTATCATGTAGAAAGGAGATCATGTCCTTGCACCAGAGAAAACTACTCTTATGTTATGGTTGAGATGCTAGCATGAGGTATATTGCCATGATGCTGAAGCTATGGATAAATACAAATCCTGCATCCTCAGTAGCATCTCTCAGAGTCAGAAGTGGGAATGTATGGGCAGGCAGAATGTTTTCAAGGAAAAGACAGGCAGGATTTGCAAGTAACATGTATTCTCTTGGAATTTGGATAAAACCATAGCATCACCATGAAATCTTTCGTTGTTTTCAAACTCTACAAATTCCCATCAAACAAGCTTTCATCTGTAGAATTCTGCTGGGAATGTCTGTTCTGTGTTTTACCCAAAGGGCAGTCATTCCTGCCATTTTCTCTGCTGTGAGATGGAACTAGCATCAATTATATTGAAAAACATCAACCCCTCTTACTGAATTGCTGGCACAGCTTCCTATGCTGCTTGAATTTCCCTAATGTGCTGACCAGGGTAGCTATGAGAACTACTGAGATCATGCTGTGAAGGAGTGTTAATGCTGGGGATGTACTGCACTGCAGTGAGTGTGTGTGGCCTTAGAGCCAGAGTGCTGTGCAGAGCATTGCTTCAGAGCCTGGGAGGTTGAAGGGACAGGCTGTGTGGCACCATGACTCTGCTACTGGGCTTTGTATAACAGATGAGAAAACTGGCAGTGGCTCATGGCCTGCTCATGATCCCCCCTGAGTGGCTAGAGCTGTGACCTTGCATTTCGGAGTTACTAATGCAGTTATTTCTTCTCCTGTATACTCCCTACTATCAGCGTACTATCCTCCCACTCCCAGCAGCGTGTGTGCAGCCCCATGCCTGCATGCACCCTACACGCTCCGCTTTTCTCCTCCCTCCACAATGTGAACAAGCTAGGGGATGGAGACAGAGTATTATGTACAACGTGATGCAGCTAATTACTTGACACTGGACATAAAAGGGGGATTAACTTGTGCCTCATAGGGCTGTCAGTGAATCCTAATCTTTTCTTCCCCTCCTCTTTCCTCTTCCACTGCCATCTGAAGTAATGAACTGGTTATAAATATCTAATTAGCTAATTATTTGCTGGCTCACATGGAACATCTTCTGTGGTGGAATTCCCTGGGCCCCTGGAGGAGGGACCTCCGTGGAGGCGAATAGAGAAGGACCATACAAGCTGCGCTCGGGGTAACGGCAGGATAGTGATGCTTGGGAGGATTTCTGGACTTTCGCTATCCCTGGAGAACAGAGAGGAAGTAATTAGTTCAGTGGAGAAACAAGTCTGCCCTTACCCCTGCTTGCGGCTCTCTGAGCTGAAGAACCAGCAGAGGAATAAAACCACAGAAAGAATTCATTAGGTGGCTAAAAAAGGAAAGGGAAAAAAAAGGAAAAGAAGAGAGATTTTAGAAATGTTTTCACTGGCAAGGATGCTATGCTGAGAACATTTCAGGCTGTGTCCACTACTTGTGTGCTCCAACAGATTTGGGGAGGGATGACTAACCAAGAGAAGAGAATGTACTTTCCATGACTGTCCCCTAGTGAGATTGCCACTGAGAAGACCAATTTATGCCAGTTGTTTGTGAGTGCTGGAGAGGTTCATCCCACCAGGCAGGTTTGCCTTGTACCACCGGTTCAATTCTCATAGGCTGCAGTGTGCAGTAGTCAAACTGGGATGACTTTCAGTCTAAGCTGTCTAAGGATGGGGGCTTTGAACTCTTCTACACCTTTGGGACAGGGTTTTTACTCCATTGCCCTTCTGTAAGGAAGCAGGAGAGTGAAATATCAATCAAATTGCTGATGCTGCTGAAAGTCTCTTGCTTTTTTTCTTGGTGTTGCAGTTGGAGGCATAGGGTTAAGAGTGTCACAGCAGCTCAGCTGGCTGCCTGACAGTAGAGGTTAGGACAAGAAAAGGCAGTGATAATAAATCTATCCTGATTTGGGCTGTAATTAATTTCCTACACATTTCTGCTTTTATCTTCATCTGTCTTTTTATCTATATCTCCTTATTTTTCCTTTCTTTCTCCTTCCCTTCCTTGTTTTTCCTTTCTCCTTTCCTCTTTCTTTCCATCCTATACTTCCTCTTTCTGGTTCTCTTCCCCTCCTGCAGGCATGCGCATCCTTGTGAATTTGCTCCTGGATACCTTGCCCATGCTGGGGAACGTCCTACTTCTCTGCTTTTTTGTCTTCTTCATCTTCGGCATCATCGGGGTGCAGCTATGGGCTGGGCTGCTCCGCAACCGCTGTTTCATGGAGGAGAACTTCACAATGTGAGTGGCTAAAAGATTACGGCCCATTTCTTTCTTCCAGTGGAATTGTAGAATCATAGAATCATTGTGGTTGGAAAAGACCTTTAAGATCATCAGGTCCAACCATAAACCCATCACCACCATGCCTGTTAAACCACATCTCTAAGTGCCTCATCTACACGTTTCTTGAACACTGCCAAGGATGGTGACTCCACCACTGCTCTGGGCAGCCTGTTCCAATGCTTCATCCACTCTTTATTTTTCCTAATAACTAACCTGAACCTCCCCTGGCACAACTTGAGGCCACTTCCTCTTGTTCTGTTGATAGCTATTTTAGTGAAGAGACTGACCTCTGCTTCACTACAACCTCCTTTCAAGTACTTGCAGAGAGCAATAAGGTCTCCCCTGGGCCTCCTCTTCTCCAGATTAAACAATACCAGCTCCCTCAGCCACTCCCCAGGGTCTGTTCTTCAGCCCCTTCAGCAACTTAATTGCCCTAAAGGGAGGTTTGCTTTTCTCTTCCCTGTTCTCTTGTCTTCTGTTGCCTGGCTTTCTATGTATTTTTTACTCCAGACTGTTGTAAGATGATATGGCCCTGAGTATTAGCTACATCTTGCAGTGGTCAGAAAGGGAGGGATCAGGCTACATATCTGTGGGCTAATCTGAAACTGGGCAAGGCTCAAATTAGAATAGCTGACTCTTCTAGCCATGCCCTCAAGATGCTGCTTCTACTCCCAGGAATAGACAAAATGTAGAAACACCAGCCATTCTCTTTCTTTTGGATGTGTTCTTGCTTCAGAAAACAAATAGGGGAGTCCTACAGAAAACTGTGGTATTGCCTGTGTGCTTCCAGGGACATTGTCCAAGGTAGAGGTGAAGTTGTTGTTTTCATGTAGTAGCTCGTTACCTCCACAAGCTTTGGGGGATATGAAGAAACCACTGGAGAGCCTCAGGAACAGAAATATCTGGAAAAGGTGCTGGGGGCAGGGGAAGCTGGCGGTTGGGAGAGGTGTCCCAAAGCTGATTTAGTGAAAGGGAGACCCTCTCCCACTCCAGCTTCCCAGGTCTTCCCAAGGCTGTTGGGAAGTTCAGCTGCAGGAAAGCAAAGCACAGATTCTTGATTGGGAAGAAAAGATGTGAAGAAAAATGGGCCCAGTTCTGGTGACAAGAACCGTAGTCACACAATCTTCTATGTTCTCTCTGATATTCTTCTTAATGGCAGGTATCCGAGGACTTTTTTTTTTTCTAGCTGAATCAGAGGGAGCCTGAAGAACACTGCTCTCCTCCCTCTCAGCCACAGTGCTGGTAAAGCTCCTGCTTGGCACAAATTCTCCAATTACCCTCCCGGGGAACACAGTATCAATACCAGAGCACAGCTCCTCCTGTTGACTTTCTAGCTTTAGCTGATCTTGGGCTTTAAAACATCTTCTAAAAAACATGTGCTAATCCCAGGCCTTAGATCAATTTAAACTGCTTAAAAAATCCAAAGCTGCAGATCAGTTTAAACTGATTAAACAATTCTGAAGCTTTAGATCATCTCAAATTGGGGAAAAAGTAAGTGTGAAAACACAATCTGCAGAACAGCAGTGGGGCAGTAGAGCAGGAGCTGCTTAAAGCAGCCATTTACTGTGTTTATATATTCCTTGGGGAGAAATGACTGTTTAGGATGATTGTCCTTTATGTAAATCAAGAATGATACTACTTTAATGAGTGTAATTACATCCATACAGAATGAGAAGTAACTGAGAAGTGAGTTGGAGCCACAATTTGCAACGTGACAGATGCTAGATAAATCTTTGTCTGACCATTACCAGATAAACCCGTTCTACAAGCACCCAATACACCAGTAATGTGGATGTGTAATGAGAGATCTTTGTGGGTTTGTCCCACTGAGATTACAATCAGAGGCTTTTTCTCTTTTCTTTTGCATCAGCACCTGTCCTCTTCCAATAACATTTAGTAAAATGTCTGCGTTCATACAACATGAAAGCTATGTACTGGAGCAAGGGCAAGCATAGATGATTTTAATTATTCATGCACTTGGAAGGTGCTTGCCTCATTTGGAAAAAAAAGCACGTGAAATTGTCATGAAACATTGCACCAGTAATGCCAACTGTCAAGGCGGAGTCAAAGTTGAGTTTAAGTCAACTTTAGCTTTGCATTTCCTGATTTTAAGCCTTAGCTGTGCAACCTTATTTATGCATGAACTGGATTTTTTTTTGTTGTTAGAAGTACAGAAGGTTCACTACCAAATGTTATAAAACATGTCCATCAATGGTTACATACATGAGCACATCGCATAAAGCCTGATGAACTTCCTTAATATCATTGCATCTGATTTAACTTTTATGCTAATGGAGAAAGTGATCAGAATGCAAATGTCTGCATTTTAACTTCTCTCTGTCTCCAGTCAAGAAGACTGTGTGATTTGTGTCTGGGGATCTTATGGTGGCAAACCTTAAAAAAGGAGGGACTTGTTCCTGGATGTTCTTACTTTTCCAGAAGCCCTATCTTCTGTTCATTTAAAGAAATGAACCTAGAAATCCTTTATCCAGTACAGTTCCTACATCAGAATTGCAGTTCATCAAATGCCATTTAAGGGCAACATCTGTTACAGTAACTTTATGACAGTGTTTTTTATCCTTGTAGACAAGGTGACATTGTCCTACCCCCTTATTACCAACCTGAGGAAGATGACGAGATGCCCTTTATCTGCTCACTGTCAGGAGACAATGGAATTATGGGATGCCATGAGATCCCACCTCTGAAGGAGCGAGGCCATGAATGTTGTTTGGACAAGGATGATTACTATTACTATAACTCTGTCCGGCAAGAGTTCAACGTCAGTGGTATGTGTGTCAACTGGAACCAGTACTACAACGTATGCCGTACAGGCAATGCCAATCCACACAAAGGTGCCATCAATTTTGACAATATCGGGTATGCCTGGATTGTGATATTTCAGGTAAGATCTAATTAGCTTCCTACTAGGACTCAGGCTTTTTTTTTTTTTTTTCACATGTATCTGTCTTTGCTCTCACAGTGGTTTCTGCAGGGTGGGATACAGCTGAACAGCCTTTTAACCTCTCTTCCGGCCAGTGAGATAGAGTACATGCCACAATAGTGTTCCTGAAGATGGGAAGGGGCATATAACTGTTTTGGGTCCTTGCTAAAATGAGCTAAATCCTTCACTGAGCTGTGTTCTGTTTCCCTTTCAGTCCAGATCACTACAGCAAAGGGGGCTACTTTTTTTTTTTTTTTTTAATTCTCAGCACACATTGCATATGGGAGCTAAAATCTGTGTCTCTCTCTTTTCTTCTGGCTGTACGCTGTGTCCAGTCCAAGGGGCACAGAAACCCGCTGCAAGTTTTTCCCTGCTGTGATCCAGGGAAATGAACTATTTTAATGAAATATTCCTGCTGCGCACTAGCATGATCTCACAGGCTTTGACCGCATGCCAGTGTCACCAAGCAGAACCACGCTGATTTTCTGGAATGGAAATTTGGCCTCCTTGAAATCATTTTTTTGTTTCTCACCTTCCTTGGGTTGCAACAGCCTTGTCAGTACCAGCCTGTATACACTGTGAATGATCTGTGGAAACCCGCTCTCCTCCTCTTTTTATTGTGGTTGCGTGTCTTTGCAGGTCATCACACTGGAAGGGTGGGTGGAGATCATGTACTACGTGATGGATGCCCATTCATTCTACAATTTTATCTACTTTATCTTGCTGATAATTGTAAGTATAAGACAGAGAAACTCTCAGTGTTACAATCTTTAAAAGGGCAAATGTTAGGTCATCATGGACACTGAGTAGGAAATTACTATCACTTATTTGTTCTAGGAGCTTAAGAGTCTAGTTCACATGATTTTCACCAAGAGTCAGTGGTAGGATCGCATAGTGTGGATCAGGTTCTTCTCTTCCACTCAAAAAAATGTGGAGGATTGATTCCTCAAAATGAACACATCCAGTGGAGGATCATGTTCTCATCCACAGATCTTGTTTCAAAGTAAATTCCCAAAACCAGTAGGCCCCAAAACATAGAAAAACATTCCTGCGTCTTCCCTCCTACCTGCTCTTTTTAGATATTTGAAGCTTCTGAGTTGTTCTTCTTTTATGGCTTTGGCAACACATGAATTTGTCAGTCAGAATCAAGGTCTGTCATGCAGAATTGCTTCCTCACCATGAAGAATAAAGATTTGATGCTCACAAAGTTCCTGCCATCCAACTTGAACTGGAGTGGCTGTGTGACATAACTTGTGACTGGTGAGGATGGAAGGAGAGGTATGTATCAATGATAACTCATTAAGCAGTTTATAGACCATGTGGATTTATGCATGTGAAGGTTGTTTTTCTGTTTTAAGAATGTTTGTATAAGCAAATCTCTATGTACTATGTGATGGATGCCCATTCATTCTACAATGAGACAGCAAATCTCACCTTTTGAGTCTCCATCTGCAGATGTTGGAATTAAGATCTGTTCTGTATTCATCACATACCTTTTGAGTTGCTTTCCATACAAAGCATAAGAGGAAAGCGAGAAGAAAAGCAAGGAGGACAAATTAAAAGGGAAAAGGAAGTAACATATTTAAACAGTCATAGTTTTTCTAGCTATGAAGACTTTCTTTGTAGTAGATAGCTGAAAGAGTTCACCTAACCTTGACTTTGTTTTTAAGTTTTCTCTTTGAGGCAAGACCATTTTACATCTCTCCTACCCTTTTGTTTCTCATGAGGTAACTATGACCTGTCAGGCAAGAGCATGGGTCTCTGGAGAGAGAGGTGAAAAACATAATGCCTTTATTGCTTCCATTCCTCAGACTTCCCATGTGTAAATATATTTTATTGGAGGGAATGTCCTGTATTTGACAAAAAAAGGCTTTTGTTTTTATGAAAACACTTGCACTTTTCTCGCATGGAGACCAAAGTCAAGAGTAGAAGATGAAGACCTAGGATGGAGTATGAGAAGTCCAAAATCTGTACATGGTAGATTCAATGTCACTTAGCTGGTAAGAATCTTGTTGTATATCCAAAGTCTACATTCGAGTGGGCCACAGAAAGGACCTGGCTAAAACTTGACTTTACGCCTACTATATGCCCTACAACCATTTCCTGTATTGTTTGTTCAGATCTCCTACGATGCAACCAGCCCCTACTTACATTTTTACTTTGACCAGGATATCCATATTTGTATAATGTGCTATTCAGCACAGATTTTTTGCTTGTTCTCAGACACAGTTTCTCTCTGAGCCAGGAGGGACTGTGCAGACTGCTGTGTCAGTGTATAACACTTTGAGGCAGGAATACCTGTCTTCTGTGTTCCAGTTCCAAAATCTCCCCTTAACTCCAAACTGCATAAATTACATATGCGTATTTCTCATTTTAAAGTGAGAGCAGGCTTCTAGTGTTGGCTCACCTCATGTGGCTTCTCAGTGATTCAAATTTCGTCTTTGAATTTACAGGCGTCTGAAAACCCTCAATTAAGCCTTGAGCCTGAGATTTTACTGCCAAATGTCATTGACATTTCTAGACACACCCTTCTCATTTGCAGAAACCATGTGGGTTTATTTCCATCAAACACAGGCACACGTGAACCTCAGCTCACTCTGGGGACTACTCAGAGCAGAGGAGTCATAGGCCAGATACATTAGTGGGATGTTTCCTTTGTCTTTGGAGGAATAACACTAATAAAGTATATAGCCTTCCTACTACCTACTTTGCATATATAATGTATCTTTCCAGAATGCCATCACAGACTTAGCAACATCGCAACATGATTTTGCAATCGCTCAGTTTTATATCCCCTCTTATGACAAGCCTTCCTATGACAATGGCATTCCCCTTTCAAGTGCTCCTTCCTTGTGTTTCTTTATTCAAGACCTCATGAAGGAAATCCTTCTGGCCTTTATCCCTCCCTCCTTCTCTGTGGTTCAAAAGCCTGACTTTATCTACAGGTAGGGTTGCCCTGATCCTTGGGGCTTGTTTATTCCATGTTCTTCCTAGCTATGTCTCAGAGCTCTTCTGGACCAGGATCTGAAGAGCTTTCTCCTTAGAGCTATGCTTTTGTGCATAACTTCTTCCTTCCTACCTAAGAACACAGAGATATGTGTTCTATGATTCTGAAAACCTATTTTAGAATGATAGCTGTTAATGCTCATCGAGCAGTTAGAAGGCTCTACCACCTGAGTATATTCTCAGAGTACTCTAACACTCCTTCCACTTAAATATGTTGCTGGGGAGCTGACACTGGCCCCTGTAATGGCCTTGCAGAACAACTGATAAAAATATTTTGCCTACTCATCAAACTGTAAATAGTTTCTCCATCTGCCAGAGACCAGGCAGGTGACATTAAGGACATTCTTTAAGCTCTTGGGGGTCACCACTCTGCTTGAGTCTTCCTACTTGAAGTCCAGTTGATTCCCAGGTCTCTTCATGTCTGCGCTCCAGCTAGTTGGTCTTTGGTGTCACTCCTGTCGTAGAGAAAGTTTGGGGCTATTTTGCACTTTAAGGTGTCATTCACATTGGAGGACTCAGTGGCCTCATTGAAATGCTCTGTCCTTATATGCGTAGGCTTCATAGATGTTGGAAATCCAGGCATGAGAAATGAAAATAATGGGTAGGTCTTCAGCATCTCCAGCAGTGGTCATGTTTTACTAGATATTACAGAGAAGGGAATAGAGCCTTAGAGGGAAGAAGGGCAGGATCAGCTTAACCAAAGTTCACTTCAATCACAGGACTGAACAGATCTCCTGTATTGAGGCTTGGAATCTACAATCTCCTTCTGACTCTGTCAGTCAGGACAATTTTCCATATCAGACACTTTCGGTTTCCCTGCTCATCTAGCTGAGGTGGCTTGCTCGGTTCTGAACCATCTGTGACCTTTTCTGGCTTTCTGCCTGTTAGGAGGTAATGTTGAGCTCATTAGAACCTTAGAGTCTGTGGGCTTGCCTGTCATCTTAAGAAGAAAATAAGCACACTTGTCTCGTGTTTGCTGTTTCTAGCTAAGAGGTTCAAGGTTCATGTGGGCTAGATACCATATCCAGACATTCCTCCTCTTTCTGGTGTTCTGATGGGAGATCACAGCAAATGATTGTGAGCATAGGGCTTAGCAATATGAAACCTGAATTGCTCTCAGGATTCAACCCTAGGCTTACGGGGTGACTCTCTTCAGAGCACATCACTGTCCTGTGCCTCAGCTCCTCTACTTGTACCATAGCAGCATTTCCTTACTTCGCATGGTGGTGCAAGTTTTAGTCAGTTGTTGTTTGTGACATTTTTGGAAGGTATGAAACATTAGACAGTGCCATAATTAGTGTACAGAAATGTACCTATAGTATGTAACCAGATCCCAACCCTACCTCACTCAAAGTAAGAGGAGGGAGATAACTGAGTGGAAGAGTGTGTGAGTGTTGTGTAATGCTGGGGGATGCTGAGAGGGAAGAGGGTGGGAGGATGTGTTTGAGAAAGATTTGGATTCCCACTCTTACACTTATCACTGAAAACACAGCAAGAGATCCTGGACTACAGAAGCCATGGAGGAAAGCATGGCCTCTGAATGAGGCATCAGTTTTCTTTTTAAGGCCATATATGGAAGTCGAAGGGAAAAAAAGCTGAAATATAGGTTGGTAGAGAGGAAAGAGAAGGACTCAGTGATGAAGGGGAACAGAATTAGAACAGCTTTGAAGGCTGATGAGAGGAGGATTACGAAAAAAAATCTTTATTACAAAATGGTTTATTATGGTTTATTAGCCTTATGAGTAATGATGGACAGGGCTTCTTGAAAACTGTTTGGGCAGGGCTTCGTTTTTCGAAGGCTTATTCATATGCTATCAGGGCTGTCTGCCCTTTGAAATACTGATAGCAACTGTATTGTATCTCCTGATGGAGCTCCTGAGCACTTGTGTGCAAGGAAAGGGACAGCCAAGGGAGCTAGTTTGTCGGGAGTGGGGGAGATATCAAGGCCTGTGCAAGGAAGGGCACTTGGGCAGATGAACACAGGGGTACTCACTTAAAAAGTGCCCCAGCTTTTCCAAAAGCTGTAAGCATGTCATCCCCATGGCTTATGGTCTCCACTGGTCTGGAAGGGCTAAGTTTTTCACAGCTTAGGGGAGGACACATGCATGAAGGTAAGGATAGGACTACGTGCAACTCGGTACAGAGCTCTTTGCTTGGGAAGAAGAGATGTGCCATTGGTCCTGTGAGGGGTTGTACAGGGGGAACACGGTGCACGTACTCAGTGTAGTATAGCAGCAGCCTTCGTAGCAGTGATCATCCCTAGTCCTAGGGACACAGAAATCCAGCGCTAGTGCTTCCTCTCCTCCCAGCAACCACCCTGCACAGGGCCTGTTTCAAAGCAGTGAGGACATTAAGTCCTTGTTTAAAGATCAGATGGTGTTTTATAGTCGCCATGTCATCACTTATAGCTCTGCAGGGAGCAAGCACCATTCGTGGCATCATATCTTTTGAAAATGATTTTGAACGTGGTCACCAGCCTTTGTATGTGTGAAATTGTCATTCTGTTGAATCTCGGGTTTTATCCTGACTGTAATGGATAGATCTCCTAGTGGAGATTCATCTATAATTTAATAAAACTGAGATGGTGATTTTTACCCCTGGATCTCTGAGCACCAAGGAATATTATTTCAGATAGATGAGAAAACTCAGGCAAAAGAAGATTAAAGGAAATGTCCCAAAGTATAAAATAAGCCTTGTGGGCTTTTCAGCTTCTGTAGGGTAAATAACAAAGTCCTGTGGCTTTTTGTTTCATTTCTAAGAAATCGTGGGATAGGGCTATGTTTGCATATTTGAAATGGAAAGTCGTCTATCTAGGCTAGAGGACAAGTGACATAAGAACTTGCACAATATGTCTAGTGTTAGAAGAAGCAGAACAATAAAAGTTGAACACGGAAGGATTTTTTTTTAACAGACTATTTACTGCCCATTTCAAAGTCATTAGTAAATGCCTCTTGGATTTCAAGAGCTCATTTATTTCTGCAAAGTATCATATCCCTGTATAGTAAATTAAAGTATAAAGGGCAGAATTAAATAAAATGTTTTGAGAACATTGATGTACCCTCTGGAAGTCAAAGAAGACCAGGAATGACAGTGCATGGCTCTTCCAGTAGTAAAAAAAGAAAAAAAAAAAAAAGGCAACCAAACCAACCTTTTGCCTACCACCTTTTTATCATAGAAGAAGTCCACTTTTCATCAAATCCTTTGCACATCACTTCCAAGTGACTTGCTAAAGGTCGCAAAACCAATCAGTGGAGCCCAAAATAAGGCCCATTATTCCTGAATTGCAGTTCAGAGCTCTAAACTCCTTCAAAATGGCATTGGGTCAGTCAAAAAGAAGTTGAGTCAAACCTGGCTTCCTCTGGAATCCCAGCTCTGCTGTAGTTCCCATTCCTCTCTCTTCCTGCTATTTACTTTCTCCGTCTCTCTCCCCTTTCACCTCCACTCTTGCATGTTCTTCCTCCCATTGACATCCCCTGTCCCTTCTCCTTTGCTACCAGGTGGGTTCCTTCTTCATGATTAACCTGTGCTTGGTGGTCATCGCCACGCAGTTCTCAGAGACCAAGCAGCGAGAGCACCAGCTGATGCAGGAGCAGCGAGCCCGGTACCTGTCCTCAAGCACAGTGGCCAGCTACATGGAACCGGGCGATTGCTATGAGGAGATCTTTCAGTACGTCTGCCACATTGTACGCAAGGCCAAACGTCGCACCCTTGGGCTCTACAACAGCCTACAGAGCCGGCGCCGAGGCCATGTGGAGCCAAGCGATGCCAAGCTGGGCGTGAAGAAGAAAAGCCAGAGACACTATGGTAAGCATTGCACGTGCAAAGCTGGAAACACCAGTAGTAGAAATGTGAGAGTAACTGGAAGCAACCCTGTACACTAGCTTGCAACAGGGTATGTGTTTAGGAAGAAGAGAGGTAGAATTAATATTGGCCAGTGAGCACAGTTCTGCGGTCAATACACCAGAGCAGTCTGTTGGGGGTGACCATCAAGGAATATGGAAAGCCAGTTCTGAAACCTAAAAACAATGGTGGAAGAACATTAAACTCGCTAACTGAGGCTTGGAAAGGATTCTAGGTCTGGAGGAGCAGGGGGTTAATAGCAGCCTGGGACACACACAAAAAAAAATTAATGGGATATGAAGAATTGGTATGAGAGTGGGGACTGGGTGACATAGCAGATCCCCCTGAGCTCTACAGGATCTCAGGATGGAGGCAAGTGAGCACAATAGGGTGTCTCCTAAACAAGGAAGGAAACAAGGAAGAAGAGGGATACTGAAGATGGCAGTTTTGATGTGCAAGAGTAATGGAGACAATTGTTCTTGATGGGAGCACAACTCGTTCTGTAAAATTAGGCAGGAGATATCATGGAAAGAGGATTCCTAGCCTGAAAAGTGACTTCAAAAATGGTTTTATAAAGCTAACATTAACTACCTCTTGATACTGTTCATAAGAAATACTCCCAGTTAAAAAGCGAATAGATGGATTTTCCTTCACCTGGTCTTGCATACACAGTTTTTCATTTTCTTTACTTGCTGAGAGAAAAGTTCCTGAAATCCTCATGCACTGTATTATGGAATGAGCTGGTTCATTCCCCCAGGGTCCAACTGATCTGCCAGGCCAACTGAAGGACTTAGGACTGAAGGAACACAGACTTAGTTTTCTCAGTGAAGTCAGCAGATCTGTTCTGATTCAGAATATACAGACAATTAAAAGGTACCATTCACACATGTGCTTTTCTATCTTTCTAATATACTTTGCTAGTGTATTTGCCCTAATTTAGAGAGTTCAGCTCAGCATCTGGAGTCTCAGAAACCACTTGTAGCTGTTTAGGCCAAAGCAGCCCTCATGATCATTTTTCTCTCAGCCCTTGCTTAACAGAAGCCACTGTATCCTGCACCAGACAAGACGGTTCTTCCTTTGATTGACATGAACACCCACTGAACCTAATTATGGGCAGTTGAAAAATACCATACCTTTCGGTGGCACAGTCGGTAAACCAATCAAGTAACTTTATCACCACCCTTGAGCTGATATGCCAGTGTTTAATCATCCTCACAGCTAAAAAGTCTAGTTACCCCAAAACCCAATAGGTGCCCAATTTGAATACATTTAGGGTGGGGGCAACAAAGCCTTGTACTTTAAGCAAGATTATTTTTCTTTCAGGGCTTTGCCAGCAACACAACTCTCTCGACTGCGCTCCTCGGGGCTTAGTCCAGCCCATTGCCCTGACCGCAACCTCTGATCCCACCAACTGTCCCCGATGCCACAGGGGAGAGCATGAAGCATCCCGAAGCCTTTCTGTCCTGGACAGTGCTGACTCAGACCAGGAGGATAGAGGAGCCAGTGAAGAGGAGGGAGATGACAGCAGGGGGGATCAGGGTACGTCAGAGCTGGAGAAGGAGGAGGAGGAGGTGGAAGAAAGTGGACGACTGAAACTCTGTAGTGACATGTGGCGAGAAGTAAGGGTCAAGCTCCGAGGGATTGTGGACAGCAAGTACTTCAACCGTGGGATCATGATTGCAATCTTGGTGAACACCATCAGCATGGGCATCGAGCACCATGAGCAGGTAATGCATCATGGGAGCAGGGTGGGAGAGGCGGCTGGGGAATCATGCCCTGGGTTAGGATCTATGTAAAAGGCGATGCGACTCAGTGGAGGCAGAGATTGAGCAATTTGGACTCTGGGTCATGGTCCCAGAATGGCGTTTGAGATAGTGTTAGGATCTTGCAGGGGCTTCTTTTCCTTATCCATACACTTAATCACTTCCACTGTCTCCATGGTTTTTCTTCTCACCTCCTTTTTATCCCTCTCTTTTTGTCCTCCCATCTCAGTTTTATACCTGTATTTTTATTTCTCTCTGTCTCCTCTCTCCATCTGCCTCTCTTCCTTCACCCCATCTCTTCCACATCTCTCTCTCTCATTTCTCTCTTCATTAGCTTACTGAATCCTTAGTCTATTTGGTTAATTTAATGTTCCCTCTGGGGATGTCACAGGCACTTCACCAGCATCTCAATTCAAATCCATCAGCTTGCTAGCCTTTCCAGCTTAATTAAGAGATGCCTGAGCACAGTCTATCTGTACAAGAAGGCTAAGAGAAGCACCACCTCTCATATCCAGTCATTTCAGGGGGCTCAAATGGCTTGAGACTTTCCTTTGCCCTGATAGCCAGTAATATATAGGTCAAGACATATACAGCAACTCGGACACAGGTTTAACTTTTTTCCTGAAGTCCCCAGCTGCTCTGAGTCAGTAGTGCATTTTATCCTGATGACAAACTTGTGAGATGGAGAAGGATTTTGTGCTTTTATTTTATAGATGGGCCATGCAGGTTATGTCTACTCTGCAATGTAAAGAGCAGGCTTGAGAGGCTGTTAAGCAGGCTGAACCCCTGACCTTGCATCCATACTGCTGGCAGGCAGCTCTGTTTCACTTTCAGATGAAAGTGTCCATGTTGTACATCTACACTTCAAATCTGTGCTGCCAATCTGAACGTGACCTTGATTGATCCCATGTATTCGTCTTTGCCCAGATCACAGAAAGGAGATTGGTCTGCTACTGAGATGCTGACTGCATCAAGGAGCTTTGGAGCTGAAGCTAAGTCTAGGCCTGAGCACTGTCTTGGGCATCAAATAGAGGCAGCAAGCGAGTCTGGTTTAACCAGGCATTCACACTTGTCTTGTACCATAACAGGATGGAGGTTTCTTGAGACCCGGAGTTGCCTAAGCTCCCTTTGTTTGTTTGTTTGTGGCAACATAGTGGCTGAGTCCATATTTGAAACCCCATAGGTCTATATCCCATACACACCAAGCATTAGACCAGTTTTAAAGCCCAACCAGTTTCCGATGCAAAGATAGGAAATCTTAATTTGACCTCAGAATGCAAAACTGCTACATATACTTAAGTACCATAAAAATATTGACAGGAGCTCCAAAGAGAGGAAAATGAAGAAGAGGCTGGAGGGGTTGACTCCTGAAAATAGATGAAAAAGAGATATGCATTTATCACGTAACAGAGAGATCACTAAGGGCTAAAGCCCAGGACAATATGAAAACTGCCCACCAGTATTTTAAAGATGTGAGTGCCAAGCATGGAGAGGAATTGTTCATTTTGGTTTATTGGAGACAGTGTGAATTAGGAAGTTAGCAAAGGAATATTTGAGCTGGAGGTAGAGAATTCACTCTCATGTTCTGACTATTGTTAAGTGCAGATTTAAGCCTCTGCTGTGTTTGTACAGCCCTTAGCAGAGTCAGATCTGCTTGCAGCCTCAGGGTTTCTAGTAGCAGGTTATTAATGAAACATCCTTCAAGTTATGCTATCACCTTTTATCCGTAAGTAGCAGGCAAAAGCCCTGGCCCTGTGGGCTGTTTCTACTAGAAAGAATGTTGATTGAATTGATCGTACCTGAAAAATGTGGTGTAGCCTGTTTATTTACAATGTGTATGCCGAGTCCTCTTTCTGTGGCACAGGGAGATTAGAACAAAAAGAAATTCAGACCATACTGTGAAATCCAAGTTCTTTTCAGTCAGCAATTAACTCAAAAGCACATAGCCATGTATAATTTATTTTGCTTTATTTCTTTTTTTCTCAAGCCATAATATTATTACACTTAAATCTGATGTTTTCTTGCCTCTTTCTCCCTTCCTTTCTCTCCTTTTCCCATTGTTTTTCCTCCCAGAAACATAATATTTCATAAAACAACAGCCAGCAAAACCCACCTGCCCCCACAGATCTATGGTTTGGATGGCAATGCCATCCTTTGACTGAGATAACTTCTGTTGTTTCATCATGTGAAGGAGATAATTCTCTCCCAGATGAAAATGGCTGGTTATAGAGACCCCTCGAGTTTTTATTCTCTGTTTCAGGAGTTTCCCAGTCATTCACTGAAGGATCCATCCATTTGGGCACAAGAATCATAGAATCCTTAAGGTCGGAGGAACCAAATTTAGAGAGCAGGCTAGTCCCAGGATTTGCTCACAGCACATCTTTCCAACTCCGTGTTGCACCACTTGCCCACAAACTACAGCCAGATGAGCTGACCAACAGACCAAAGTGCCCACCAGCCATTAAGTTGTGTCGTGGGAGAGACTGCAGGAACTAGATTCATTCTCAAAAGGATGGAGAGTTTGAACCTGAAGCCGAAGTGCGAGGGTCACCTTCAAATCCAGAGCCTTGGCTGATCTGGCTCCCACAATAACAGCGCTCAGCTTTGGGTAAAGAACTCAGCACTAGCAAAACAGAAAATATAAATTAAGAAATATCTCTTCATACAGCTATGCTTTAATATTAATGATATTTTTTTCTACCAGGAATCTTAACCTTAGCAACCCAAACCACTTTTCTTGCATGCAAATCATGTTGGAATTTGTCTTTGGAATTTGCTTTGCTCATCTGTCAAGTCCCTCATGCTATCCTCTTTATATGGCCAAGACTGCTTCCTTTCTCCTTGCACATCTCTTGTGAGGGAAATCAACTCATTTGGGGACAAACTGCACTGCCATGAGTCATCTTTAAACCTTAAGCTTATCAAAAGTTATCACTTATAAATATATCAAGTTTATTCAAACCTGTCAGTGCGCATTATACCATGTAATGCCCTCAACATTAGGTCTTCAAATACTGCTGTGACATTGCACAAGCCAGAAGTCATCATTTCAAGCTCTGTCCTACTTGAAATAGTTTTTCCAGTCTTTTGGATCTCCTTCTACTTAGAAGTGCCTTATTTTTAAAAGCCAGTGTAGAAAATCAGGATATCAGGGGCTTGTGTCCATAAGCATCTTCAGTTTTTCTTAATGTTCATAGAGGCTCTGCTGCTTCTCAATTTTCTTCCTTATTCAGCTTGAGAGCAAATCTCTCTCATGCCCCTTTGCTGCTTCTCTCATATATCTCCTGAATGGCCTGTAAGGCTCAAGGCTTTGCTGCTAGCAGGCAACTGCTTTGTAGCTCTAGTAGCTTGTTTTCCCTTCTCCAGTATACCTTATACTGGAGCAATACTTCATGGCATCTGTCTTGTGCAGATCAGGAGAAAATTACCTGCTTCCTGCTTCGTAGTTGGCTACACCACACCAGAACCAGCCCCTCAGTATCTTCATATCATTTTAGCCTGAGTGGTTTCTCTTTATTCCATCATTTATTGGATCTACCAAATCCTATTTTACATTCAATGCTTCTCTCTTTACTATTTGCTGCTTGTCGGAAACATTCAGCAAATGTCCAAGCCAGCTCATCACAGTGACATTCAGTAAATGATGGAATCATCTCCCCAGGGCGGTGGAATAAACCACATTGCTAAGTCTTGTAAAACTAGAGTATAACCAAAGCATCTCAAATTCCTGTACTGATTGTGGGGTGGTAAATGAAAGAAGCATGAGCTAGGTGGTATTTTCCATGGCCAGTTTCTATGACTCCTCTGATTATTGTCAAGTGACTTTGAAGTGGTGTATAAAAATGGACAGCCTGGAGAGACTTTTTAATGGAATATTTCTTTTATTCCCAAAGACAGTGATGCGCAGGTACAGTTCAATAGCTCTGGTCTACAGAGATCCCATCGGTTGCTCTTCAGTTTCTAGACAGTTGCTGATTTACCCCTGGTTAGGAGAAACAGTCTTTGTGGTGGTCTACCCATTCCTAACCTTTCGTACAGTGCATCTGCTGCTCGTTCCTGTCAGATAATGGGCTAATTAGGGTTTGGGTATGATCTGGTCTAAAAACTCCTATGTTAACTAATAAGAAACTGAAAAGGGGATGAAAGGATGTGCAGCTGTCCTCTTTTGCCCTAGTTCTAGCATCCTGATCACTGAGCAGGCATGACAAATAGAAGAGCAAGCCTTAAAGTAGACTTGGATCATGCACTTCACTCAGTATTTAATCAACACTGGTAAGGAAGAAGACCTTAGTGCCATAGGGATTGTCATGGGTTTGGAAAGAGATTCATATTCAGTAAGGAAGAAGGCCTTAGTGCCATAGGGATTGCAATTTGCTAGTTTCATGGGTTTGGAAAGAGATTCATATTCAAAATGACTCAGTCAAAATTCTACCTCATGCTTTCCCTGTTGCGATCCCTCTGCCTTTCAAACTACACTCCTTAGCTCAGTATTTAACTCCAATAGTTTCGTCTGAGTTTCTCTCCTAGTTTGGGGGGTTAATCAGTCTCTCCTGGCTTCATAATGTGTGAGGAGACTTCTAGTGATCTCTGCTTTTTCTTAGACCAGAATAGCCTCGAGTTCAGACATTTCCTTGTGGATATTTTAATTTAATTTAATATAGTTTCGAGACAGATCCAGGTAACCTGGAAGGAGCCTGCTAAACATTTTGACAGCATGTATCTGGCAACCTATCTGTGAGAGCCTGGACATCTCTTATCCCTGGGGGTTAGCACATATGCTGTGTTGGGACTCTCATGTGTCTGTGTGAATAGTGGGAGACACCCACTTATTCCCTTTTAGCTTCCCCCGCCACAGGCTGTGCGCCAGCCGTCAGCCCTGTCCACTGTGGCTCATGGTCATGGTGGCAACATGGGATGTGAGAGCATCCTTGCGCAGGACCCAGACCCTGCCGCCACCCTGCTCACAGCAGACTGCGCTCTGGGCTAATGGGTCTTTTCACTGTGCCTAATTATCTGTATCTCCAGAAACAGCTGCAATGCAAGATCTGCCTTTAGTCCATGAGTGTGTTGCCTTGGGCCTCTCCAGCTGGCTCTTCTTTCCCTTTCTTTTCTCTTACTTCATTCCTTTTGCTCTTCCTTTCCCACCCTGTTCTTATCTTCTGTGCCATTTCTTTCAGATCTTTTCTCCTCGTCTTCTTTTGGGTGTCAGTGAGCTCATTTTACTATTTTCTTCCACAATGACTTTAATTTTTCTTTCCCTGTCTTTATCTCTGTCTGTCTCTTCATTCTTTCCCTGCCCAGTCCTTCCTGACCCTCTCTCTAGGATGGATGCTTTGCTGGGGCTGATTGATGGCCCATTAGAAAAAGATTAACAGGTGCAGGCTTGACTAGAGAAACAGATGTCGGGGAGGGAAGGAGAGACAGGGAACAGGTGACCTTTTCCGTAAGTGAGATGCAAGTGTGGCTTTTCAAACATCAATTGCTCCCTACGACAGCACAAGAGTGAATGCATGGACGGCAGAGAGGATAATCCACTCATCGTAGTGGGTCACTTTTTTGCATACCTCATTCTCTCTGACACCATCATTTGATTCAGGCTGAAACTGGCATAGCTCTGTTTAGCATATGGGCTTCATGTTCCAGTGAGCCAGTGTCATTACTGTCTGGCTCTGTCCGAAGTGATCTTCATCTCTCCCTTCCTGTGTGCACTCGCTCATTCTTTCTCTCTCTTGACTCTTATCTCCCCTCCTCTCCTCCCTCACCATTGTTAGGATCATTTTGTTATTCAAATGTAATTACAGGTGGAAATCGAGCCTTTTCCCCTTTTTTATTTTTATGAAATTGAATATTTCAATTAAAATCTGTAGCAGGGAGCACAAGAAATTAGCAAAGGACACAGGATGTCACAGATGTAAGGAGCAGTTTCCAGTCAGCTAGTGGACCACAGAAGAGAAAAGCTAACTGTATGGCCCTGAGAGCCCAGGAGCAGGGATTTAAAAAGTCCCCAGCAGAAGGGTCACACCAGAACCGCATTCATCCCTCATTTCCCCTTCCGCCAGCTGAATGAGTAAAAGGCACAATCAACACAAAAGGACCTTTCCTGCCCTTCAGAAGGGCAGCAATTTTGCAGTCCTCAAGGAGCGTTCCTGACCTCTCTTCCTAGTAGATGCTAGTACTGAGTTCACTAAAAAAAAAAAAAAAAAGGCTCTGATATGCAGGATTCACCTTTCTGTTTTTTTTCTGTG